TTCCGAAGAGCTTGGCCTCTGACTCCACCCTCCCACCCCCTGCTCGCTGCCTCTCCCTAGCACTAGTCATCCTTAGCCACTGAATTGCTTGCTGCTGGGCCGGCTTCTCCACCAGGCACGGTGGGCACGGAGTCCTCGTTGCTTTTAGGGGCCCACAGAACTATTTCAATGTCTTTTAAAATCAGAAGATAAGAAGCGAATATAATTCAGCCCGGTTTACCTCATCTTTATACCAGCGCAGTCATAAAATGGAATTAGTATTATTTTGTATGGAGGAGGGGCCCACGCAGCCATGGGTGGTGCCAGATCTCCTGTTCACTGTGCCCCGTACGTGAGCTCCCAGGTGCAGGTGTCTCGCCTCGTCCCTCTGCGTCTCCAGGGCCCACAGCAGTGCTGGCACACCGTGGACACACAGCGAAGGAGCCAATGAGCAAGGGAGCGCTTCCTGACAAAGAGGAAGCCCGTGCTGTCCTCTGAGCATCCCCGCGCCTGTAGAGGACGCTATGGTGTGGCCATTGGCTACGGCCACCCTCACTTATGGTCTGCCCGCTCCTGCTCCTCCAGGGTTGACCGAGCCTGGAGGCCCTGCTCTGGCAGAGCGTGGGTGAAGGGGCGGAACGGGGAAGAAGCTGACGCTGGGCTCTCCCGGCCCCTCCTCCAGCCGTGGGACGGGCAAGGAGCTGCAGAGCTCGCACCACCAGCACGGACGGCGGCCAGGGGCGTTGAGGACCAGCTGAGGCTGGACAGGAAGTTCTGTTATACCCCCCAAACTCTGCAGTGGGACAGGAGGACAAGTCCTCGGGAGGTGACGTGCAACCTCACCGTCGGGTGTCAAATGGTGGCCCCTCCATAGGGGTCCCCATCCTAAGCCCTAGTACCCATGAAGGTGACCTCATTTGGGAAGGTCTTTGCAGATGTAATTAGGAATCTCGAGATGAGGCGATCCTCCTGGACTATATGGTAAACCCTAAACCAGGGGCACGTGGCTTATCAGAGACACGCAAAGGAGACACAGAAAAATGGAGAGAGCCATGTGAAGACGACAGCAGACACCGGGGAGATGCAGCCACAAGCCAAGGAAGCTGGCGGCCACCCGGAGCTGAAACAGACACAGCAGGCTCCCCAACCCGAGCCTCCGGGAGGGGCACAGCCCTGCCAACACCCTGACTTTGGACTTCTGGCCTCCAGAACCGTGAGAATAAATTTCTGTTGTTTTAAGCCATAATTCGGCCGTAATTCGTCATGGCAGCCGCAGGACACTGATACACTCACCTCAGAAAGACCAGAGTGGAGGGACGCCCTCAAAATGGCACGTGAGAATTTTCTGAGCAGGTGGCCCCAGTGACCGCTGCTGACCCTCCCAGCCTCCCAGCCAGGTCCACGCACTGTTGTTGCCAGGCAACGGAGCAGCAGTCAGAGGCTTGGCAGGTGCGCTGGAGAAGAGGTGAGGCCACCAGCCCCAGCCGGGGGAAGCCGAGTTCAGCATCACGCCCACAAAGGAAGGACCTGAGCAGCCCAGCAGCATGAGGGGACCCCAGGCCTGACCTTGTGCTGCAGGAACTCGGCATGGATGCAGGGACCGACATACGGGATTGGGGAAAGACGCTGGGGGGCTGGGGCTGGGGGCCAGGAATCCTCACATTTCATGAGAAGCCCCAGGAGATTCGAACTCAGGGGAGCCTGGGGTCGAGCCCAGGACTTGCGTTCAAATTCCAGTTCCAGTAATTCTTAGCTGGTGACTTTGAGTAAATTGCTTCACCTCTCTGTGCCCTCTCAGCATGGCCGGTGGTGACATCAGGGCAAGCGGTGGGAAGAACGGCACCAGACACAGGTGCCCAGCGAGCAGGACTGGGAGATGCGACCAGGAGTTGCTATAGGGTGAAAATTAGCAAGAGAGGTGGAAACTAGGAGGGGGAAAGGCGGGGGCAAAAGCTAGGCCATCTGTGGTGCTGCAGCCACAAACACACCTGCCTGCAGGGGCCCAACCAGGAGCCGGGGGTGAACAAAAGACTGTTTGTCCTCTCTCTTCTTCCCCAAGCGTGTGGCCTCTCAGCTTTTACTTGCCTACTCTTAACAGAGACATGGGTACAGATAAATAGCTATCTACAATTTTTGAAACAGCAACTGAGATTCGCCCCTTCTGAGAAGGCAATAGGGAGTAGTGGAGACTGCAGCAACAATTGCCCTCTGGCTCCAGCCAAGAGCTTCCAGGCAGGAATGGAGCCCAGAGTGGCCAGATCTACTGATTTCTCCAGAGAAGCCAGAATCTAAGATTTTTCATCCCAACCTTCTGATTTTCAAAAACATGTTGGCAATAAATTCACATTTTAAAAAAATGTGTAAACAGTGTGCAGAGGGAATAAGACACGTCTGCAGGCCACCTCTGGCCCTCCGGTTCGTGGCTCGGTCTTTGGCCTGGAAAGAGAACAAAAGAGGAGTCGCACGTCAGGACAATGACAGGAGGGTTTAGAAACCACAGGGGTTGGAACTTGTTAGGATACAAGGCAATGGGGGAAGAGCGAGCAGCCTTGCCGAGGCCCGGCCTGGATTCTAACATCCATCAGGTGATCCGAGGGCGGAGTTCAAAGCGAAAGGGGACGGAGATGCTGTTCCCTGCTGCTCGGTGAGCGTGCTCTGTGCGCAGTCTCCAGCCGCTGCAGGCCGTCTACGGCTGGAGCCGGGAGCCAACAGTGGCCCCCAAACCACCGACGTAACCCTGGACCGTGCCGGCGCCGGGGCCTGAGGGCTTCGGGGTGTACACTCCCCTCAGCCATTTTTTCTTTCTTGTGCCTCTTTTATTGGGATGATGAAATCTTTCAACTATGTGAGCAGTAAACACAACTAATTTACCCCTCGCCTCTTTGAAACAGCTGCTGACAGCTGCACTGTAATTCAATCAAGGATCTTTGTAGTCGAGCCTACCAAATTCACATTTGTTGCTTGATTCCACCTCTCCTGCCTGAGCCCACACAGCTGCACCAAACATTGACGAGCGCCTCTCTCCCCAGGGCTGGACCAGCAACAGCCTGTTCACGGTGGGGCCAAGACGGAGCGTTCTTAGCAGCTCCAGAATGCCAGCATCCAGGAGTGGAGAGGAAAAAACAACACACACAGACACACACAGGCCCAAGAACCAGAACCAAATGTCTCCTTTTATTGCAAAGTCAAAACCCTTTGTCTATTTATACAGAATTTGTGCTGAGGACGGCTCTAGGCAACAGTTGAAGGTACATGGGTCCGACCGTTAATAAATAGTCTTAAATAAGAAAACAACAGATTGGAGGAAGCGAGCTCGTCGTCCTGGACACGGGGTTGAGGAGGCCCTAACAGCTTCAGATGGACATAAATAATTTCTCTGTTTTGTAACAACTATTTACATGTTTCAATGTACAAATGATGCTAACCAGAGGCTAGTTGGGGCCTGCGTGGTGAAAAAACTCGCACCAAGAGGGAATCACACAAAAATCCCCAGATCTGCCAACAGACAAAATGAAATATAACAGAAACCGCGACACTTCCTCATGGACCAGGCAAAGGCTGCAGCCCAAGCTACTACAGAAGAAAAAGATAAAAGAAAATGAAAGCAGGGCCCAGTGTTTCCAGGAACCAACTTAATCAAGGGGGAGAAACAGTTCCCCACCGGACTGGATTGCAGGGGCCACGGGCCTCACCCAGGCAACAGACGGCCCGGGGCCTCCCCAAGGCCTGGTGTGCGGCTGGAGGCTGGGTGCGCACCACTGACGGGAACTGCTGGCCAAGGCAAGGGAGCCTGGCATCAAGCGTCATCTCAGAAATGGCACCTATAGTCAGGACACTTGACTAGGGTGCCACTTTCAAAACAGCTTCTAGAGCCTTTCATTTGAGATTCGTGTCCAGCACACCCTGCCCCCAGCAGACCTCCCACCACTCCATCTTTCCCTTACTTCAAGGAGCCGATCATTTGCAGGGCCCTCAATAGGGGTCTGCAAATGAGAAGAAGGGGCCACGGAGGCCCTCGTCAGAACCCAGACTTCAGGACGCTATCAATGAACAATGGAGGGGCCCACCTGGGGGATGGACAGTCCCCTGCCCACCCACCCCTGTCGAGGGCTAGGCTCCCTCGGTGCTTCTGGAAACGGGGCCACAGTGGCCGAGTCCAGGGTCAAGTCCGGGTTCTGCTCTGAATGTTGCCCCCTCCTCTCGGCCATTTCACTGATTTCCTACCCCGGGGAGAGCTGGAAAACCAATTGCGAGCATCTCCTGGGGCTGCACAGGCCTACTTGAATTCTTGCCATCACACACCCAGCTGGAGGACGGGACACATTTTTCCTTCAAGGTCAACACGCCCCCTCCTCGGAGCAGAAATCTGCTGTCTCCCCTCCCAGCCCAATCCTGCGTTTGGGCAGGTCTGCGCAAACCGCGGGCCTCAGGCTGAACACGGGATGGGGTGGAGGGGGCCTCCCGCCCTCCGCTGGCCGCGACTTCTGTTTATGAAATCAGAGTAAACCAAGAAATGGGGATAAACTGTTTAGGAAAATATATCTGTAACATCCTAACCATTTTCATTCATTCATTTTATTGTGACGTTTATTACAGGGACTTCCTGCTCAGCTTTCCTTCAGCCCAGACACATGTGTGCCCACCCCTCGCCGAGCCGCCCACTGCCCGCTGCTGGGTGGCCTGGCGGAAGGGCGCTCCCAACCCCCGGGGACGAGTCAGTGCACGGCTGAGACTTTGCAGCCAGCGATCGTGGCCGGGCCGTTTTCTTTACATTTTTTTTCCTGTTGGGTTTTGCCCGCAGCAACCTGTGGGAGCTTGCCCACGGGATACCGACGAAAACTGATCAAAGCCTCTCAAATTCCTGAACGCTCCCGCCCTTTTCAAGTCGGGGAGGGCGTGATGGTCTCAAAAGAGGCGCTGGGCCTGCTGAGCGTCACCGAGGCGTGGCGGCGGGGGACCGTGGGCGGCGGGAGACGGGGATCCAGGAGAAGGTGGCCCCAGAGGGTCTGACTTCCAGGAGGAGCTAGTGGCAGCCACAGGCCCGGACGACCATGTTTCTGTATTTCTTCAGGATGACGTTGGAGCTGTCGTCAAAGTAGAGGACGGAGATGGCGTTCAGCTGCGTGGGTGCACAGCAAGGCTTGGGCACCGTCTCTGGGTTGATGAAGTGGACCTGGAACACACAGCAAACGTCAGCAGGGGTCAGCAGTGGTACCTCCCCGGCCTCCTTATTCCAGAAGGAACACGTGCTCCCTTGGCTAAATGACGGTAGGTGACCGTCACTGAGCACTCCCGTTTCTGGGGTTATCCTGTTTTACAGACAAGGGAACCAGAGCACAGAGGTTTACACAGCACCCAGCTGGGAAGTTCGTGGCCAGACCAGACATTTGGGGCCAGATGATCACTCCATCGAGAGGCTGTCTTGTGCATTGTAGGACATTTAACAGCATCCCTGGGCTCCACCCACTAGAAGGCCAAAGCACTCCACCCCCACCCCCCAACTGTGACAACCAAAAATGTCCCCAGACGTCATCTCTGCCCCAGGAGGCAAGACGGCCCCAAGTCAAGACTAACTGGGCTGGCAGGGTCGGCCTGCGGCCAACTCTTTCCTTCACCTGTCTCTGCGAGCAGAGCTCTGCTGGCGTATGGCCGCGCCTGTCCGTTTACCCAGCGTCTACGGCTGCTCTTGAAGAGTTGCAACAGAGACCTTATGACTCTCAAAGTCGAAAATATTTACTATCTGGCCCTTTCCAGAGAAAAGTCCTGACCTCTGGGCTAGACCAGTCCTGTCCAAGAAACATACTGCAAGTCGCACACAGAATTTAAAGTGTTCTTGTATCCACGTTTAAAGAGATGGAAAAGAAACAGGTGAAATTAATTTAACCCAACATTTCCAAAATATTATCATTTCAACATGTACTGAAAATAAAAAATTATTAATGAGCTATTTTACTTTCTTTGTACTAAGTCCTCAAAACCCGAGTGTATTTTATACTTAACAGAACCTCCTGAGTCAGCCTGGCCACATTTCAAGTGCTCAAGAGCCACATATAAAAGTGGTTACTGTACTGGAGGGTGCAGGACGGGACTATACTAGATGATTCTGCCTCTTGAGCAATCAAAAGAAGGAGGAAAGAATTTGGGCAAACACTTGGGTGGACATCAACAGGAAAGCAGAGAGTCCAGAAAGTAAGAATGAAGAAAGAAGCAGTCCAGCTGCTCAGGTTTACTGCTCCTTCTTGTTCCTGGGCTTCTGTGAATTTTACGGAGAACGAGCATCAGAGGGCAAAGAAACTCAAGTGCCTGCAGGGGCCACACAAGCAGTGTTGATGAGTGAGCAGCCCAGAAGTAAGACAATAGGGAAGAGTGAGGACTGGGGCAAAGTAAAGGGAGATGGCCACAAGCCAACTGTAGCCAAGTGAAGGCGATGTGGTCAGATGTGCTGAGTGTTCAGGACAGGCCAGAGATTTGGTTCTGTTTTGTTTTTATGTGAAACTTCCAGATTTCCAACACACCATGCTCACCAAGTGAAAGCAGTCTGTGGATGGCCCTCTGTTCACAAGGTTCCGGTCTATGACCTCTGACATAGGCCAGCACACTTTTTAAACTTCTTATTGTGGACAATTTCAAACCCGACAAATCTAAACCTTCCCCCATGTCCTTCACCCTTGAATAATCTTACGGCAAATCCCAGGTGTCAGCTCATTTCCTCTGTAAGGATCTCTCTAGGACTCTCCAGAAGGCAAGGGCTCACTCCCCTCTGAAACGTGACCACAGACCCCTCATTTCCAGATAATCGGAGCGGTCACGCAGATCCTGGAGCTCACTGGTGAAACACGGAGTGAGTGGGTGGGCACAGGGCAGGGGTCACAGGAAGGCAGAGGTGTGCCTCTGGCAGTCTGAGGGAGGCCCCGTCACCTCCCAGCGTCCTCGGAGCGGGACCTTATGGGGGACACTGGCACAGGGAGTAGGTCCAGGCCGAGGAACGCAGAGGGGGGACTAACCGCTTCCAGCCCAAGGACTTTCCAGCCTGAACAGGGCTTCAGAGCTCACTGTCGGGGGAGCAGGGCCCTGGAAAAGCAGTGCTAAACAGAGAGCCTTCCCCCAAAGGGAAAGGAACAGAGGAGCTTTTCCTCTAAGAAGAAACACATGGGGCAGGGACGAGGGACGAGGATTACTGAGCAAAAGCAGCAGAAAGCTCCGTAAGAAACAACTGCAGGACAGAGGGGATGGCCCTGGGGAGTGAGCAGCCCATCACCAGAAGCATTCAAGCCAGGGAGGATGACCAGTTGTCAGGAAAGGCCCAGATAATGTTCATGGCGGGGAGCTAGAAAACCGAGGTCCCCGAACCTCAGATTCTAAACTAAAGAACAAAGTCCCTAACTCTTATCGCTGCTGTTGTTGGTAGAGTAGTAAAAATGACATCTGTGAGCGAGAGTCACCACGCTGGGCACCCCCTACGAGCTTTCATCTCATTACCTCGCTGAACCCTCCAGGGCGACCCCCATCTCTCTATCCTACCATCCAGCGGCCGTCTCCCCAACACTCTCCATCTCTCATTTGCTCATTTCTTCACTTGACTGTTTCCTCCCTGGAAAATGAGGCCGGGGCAGGGACCACACAGTTATAAGGTATAATTTTTTATCTTTTTTTTTATGGAGGGAGGGACCCACAAAAGCAGAGGTGCCCAAGGCCCACGAAAGTCACGGCGCGGCCTGGGGCAGAGGGCTCCTCTGGCCCCAGCGTGCAGGCGCAGGGCAGGCTCTGGCGGCCCTGCTCCCCCGCTGACCACGCCCCAGCTGGCACGCAGGCCGCACTCACCAGTGTCTGCACGATGGCGTGGTTGGTGGCGTTCATGTAGGAGTTCAGCGGGAAGGCGCACTCTCCCTCGCAGTAGTAGGCGGCATAGCCTTCGGGTGCGATGATCCAGTCCTGGGGGAGACAGAAGAGAGTGCAGCGCAAGGGCCGTGTCCAGAACCACACGGAAAGTGTGGGCCATGGGGTCCCACCTTCCATGACAAAACCCTCCTCCTGTGGGCCAGACTCTGGTGCTGCCAGGAGTCAAAGGCAGGGCCCACAGCCCCCTGAGCAGCCGGGGGTCCCGCAGAGGCAGGAGCAACGGGTGGCAGCATTTCCAGGTCCCAGCAGAATGCACAATGTCCTCAGAGACCACCGCAGGGCTGGGCTGAGCCCAGAACGGACACTTGCGTGGCTTTGTCGGAAGGTGGCATGGAGAGGGGTGATCAGGGTGGCATCAATTTCACCCCTCCTAGGTGGTAACACATTGGCAGTTTGCTTTAAACAAAACCTCAGTCCACCTGCCTGGGAGAAAGACCAATAACCCAAATGGTGTGAATTCAATGAAGTGTGGACCACCCAGCACAGCGCCTGGTATACTGTGCTGCTTGTAAAGGATGCGCATAGCCATGCCTGCCTTTAGGGTCGGTGAGCACAGAAATATCATTCTAGCAATAAATATCCCCCTCACTGACTCAAGGCCATAGACTTTTCCAGCAGAGGCCCCTGGAGTTCGCGGCTCTGTTCCAGCACTAGAACCAAGCACTGCCTGGAGCCCCTTCAGGCGTGGATGTCGTCCTAAACGCGAGGACACAGTCGCCAGAGGGCCCCATGCTGGCTGTGTGCGAGACCCTGAGAGTGTATTTGGGAAGATCCCCAGGGAAGAATCTGGACTCTCCCACTGAGCTATAAGCTCACTCAGAGGACAACAAAACCCGTGGCCTGGTGACCCTGTGACAATGCTCTGTAGGGGATATCTGAGCTCCCCGAGGGCAGGGACATTGCAATGTTACTGCTGCACCCCCAGTGCCTAGGAGGGGCCCAGGATGCCACACAGGCTCATAAACAGCTGGGAGACGGGACGATCCTGACTCCCTTTCTAGGACTCATGCCCTGTCCTCTGTCCCACCCCACCAGAACAGTTCCACGGGGCAGCCACGTTCCTACGACAGGACCTCACCCCTAAAACAGCTGACGGGTTCAGGAGCAAGCACCTGCCCCGAGCTGGACGCTTCAGCCCATTCCCTGGGGACCTGAGTCATGGGAGGGGGAAGGAGGCACCGACGGGGCAGAGGGTGGGAGCCGGCGCTCGGCCAAGTCTGAGAGAAGCCGTGGGATGCACACGGGGCTCACGGGGGGATGAGGCTCAGAGTCCACCGTGTTTGGGGCCCTGCTTCCACTTTGAGTCTCAATCACAGTCCTGCGCTGGGGCTTCAGGAGGCATCCCCAACCTCGACCTGGACCCTTGGCCCCAGCGAGGACACCTGACACAGGTCTCAACTGACACAGACGGGAAACAGCTCACTGCGCACTTGGGACGCAGCCCCACTGCCTAGGGGGGAGCCCACCCCAGAGGCCCCAGCATCCCGGTGGCTGCAGCCCGCGCCTCACCTGCCAGCCCAGGTCGCGGAAGCTGACGTACAGCTCGTGCTTCTTACAGGCCTGCCTCTGGTCGCTGCTGCTGTTCTCTGCGTAGACGACGACGGGCGGAGGGGGCGGGGGGATGAGAAGGACAGCACGTGTTACTCTCCCTTGGTCTAAGGCGGCGGGGCGAGCGCAGGCGGACTCGCAAACTGGGGGCCAGTTTCTGACACAAGAGCCGCTCCAGCGCCTGGAGCTTAAAACGCATTTTGGTCCCCAGCCCCTAGCCTCAGTAAGGGAGGTGCCAGCGCCGCGTCCCTCTCGCACGCGGTCTCAGTCACGGCACCTTCTGGATCCTTCTGCGGACCCTGGTTTCTCTTGCACACACGTGTTGTTTGGATACTGACATCTGCCTGGATTACTAAGGGAACAACCCCATCTGCATCCCACAGGGCCGGCCGCTGGAGCCCATGCAAGGGCAGAGACAGGGCCCGGGACAGAGCCCCCAGCACCACCACCACCACGAAGAAAACAGAGGGCAGAAGGTCAAATCCCACTGACCTTCCGGAAAAGCACACTCCTGAGGTTTTGTTTGAAGAGCGAAAAATCTGCAGTGGGGTTTTCCAGAAGTATGTAAGGTTTGCAGGCACTGGGTTAGGGCCTGCACACTGGTAAACATGTGGAAATGTCTGTCTCTCTCCCTCTCTCTCTCACACGCGCGCACACACACTCCGTGCTGCCACTGCACAATCTTCCCTCCACCCTGCAGCTGAAGGGATTGGTTTTTTTCTTACCCACAACCTGTCTCATCTACACCTAAAACTTTCCCGGGGCTTTCTATCTTACTTAGAGCAATGTCTGTACTCCTGTCCTTCGCCTGTAAGGCCCTGTGTGGCCCTGACTCCTGAACTATCAGCTACCAACCTTCAGTCACACCAGCCGTCTTTCTGTGCCGTGAATGTGCTGCCCGTTCCCACCTCAGGGCCTTTGCACCTGCTGTTTCCTCTACCTGGAACGCTCCTTCCCATAATCTTTGTATGTCTGGCTCCTACTGGATATTCAAGCCTTGGCTCGAATGTCACCTTTTCAAAAAGGCCCTGTGAGGCAGGGTCCGGTGTCCACCAATATTTGTGGGATCAACATACAAATAAATGAGTGGTTAACACCTTAGTTTCTGTCCACTGCTCTGATCCCCTCAAGGAATAAGTGTCCCAGAAGGTACTGAATGGGTGAGGGGCACAGAAAGAACTCGCAGGATGGAGAGGAAAGACCCCGGAGATGAACGGGGCTGCCTGCTCACCTGACCTGAGCTTGAGAGACGTCCGGGCGCACCTGGCTCCCACTGCCTGGTTGGCTGTCTCAGATGGCCTGGTGGGGGGCCCTCCCGGACTCGGGTCAGGGGCCGTCAGGGCAACCCCACCCCTTGCCAGTGACTGGCTTAGAACCCAGGCTGAGCTCTCCAGCTCACACCCTGTCCTTCGAGTAACGGTTGCTTCCGAAAGGCCAAGTAATCCAGCCCAGGCCAACAGGACACAGGTGGATGCACACAGGGGCTTCTGGAAAAGTTCCCTCATTCCTCAGAAGGACCCAGGGGAAGAGCGGCTCACTGGCTTCCCTCCATTGCCCAGGAACAGAGAAGGAGTGAGGTTCCAATGGCTACAGCCGTAGCCTTGGGATGAAGCCAACATGAAGGTGGCGGCGTGGGGACGCAAAGAGCCAGGCCGCAGAGCTTCTGGGTCAACCAGCCCACATGCCCACCCAATCTTGGATCTGGGGGCCAACGATGTTCCTGAGGCTGGGAGCCCCTTTGATTTGGTCTCTCTTACTTGCAGCCAGACCATCCCAACAGGTCCTACCTCTGAAGTTTCCCGTGAGGGCTCATCCTGATGTGGGAGTGCCAGTTGGCTTGAGCTGAGGTGTAGACCCTGGAGTGCTGACCCTGGAGTACACCAGCCCGAGTGAAGTCTGAGCAGTGAGTGAGGACCGGGCAAGGGGGCCACTCCAGCTCTGGAGTCAAACCCTGGGTCTCCGAGACCCTGGGCTCCTCATCTGCAGAGTGGGGAGGGGGTCTGACACCTCCCAGAGCAGCCTTGTGTCTCCAAGTCGGATTAGCACCGCGCTCAGCTCATAGCGTCTGGCTATTTAGTATCATCTGCCAGCCCCTCATTAGGGAAGTTTAAAGGCGTACACCTCCTCCATTTACACGCACCCCCTTTGACCATTCGGAGTTCATGACTGTCTCCCCCAAACTCAGTGACACGTCACCCACGTGTTTGGCAAAAGCTGAAACACCCTCCGTGTTCCGCTTTCCCCTGATTCACAGGGACTCTATCTGCACAGCTTCCAGGTTCACGAGAAACAGTCAGATAAGAAGGACATCGCTGACTTCCCCTCCCGGGGCCTCAATTTCCTCAGTGTAAAATGGGTGTGACAGGAGCTGTGTAGGGAACTCACTCTGTATCCATAAACCCGGTGACCATCCACTACAGACCAGAAAGCCTCCTCGGACACACACTGGACATTACGTCGTCCTGGAAACCCTCGACGTCCAGCCACCTGGGCCGCGCGGTGGCCGAGAACGACTTTGAAATGAAATAGAGGAAAGGGGAGTGAGGGTGGGAAGGAAAAAGAAAGAGAAACAAGAACGGGGATGCGGAGAAGAGGGCAGGGAGCGAGGAGAGCGGAGGGGCACAGCGGTGACCAGAAGATGGCCTCCCACTGGTGTTCCCGAAACGCTTAGGTCCGGGACAGACAGGCGTTCCTGGCTGGGGGCTTTGGTCTCAGGCTGCTTCTACTTTCACCAGCTTTGTTGAATATCTCCAATTTTATACAGATCTTTATATCCATAGTTCAGAAAAGCAATTTTTACGGATATACAAACCAATGAGAAAATTACATTTCACTGAACACAACTGAATTTGACGTGTCTTTATAGGAGGGATCCTGGCTCCCAGGAGACACTCAAAACCAGTGAGATGACCTCAGCGTGGGCTGACCCAATGGGGCCCAGTCAACCCCCCAGGCTGGGGGGCAGGGAGCACTCGCCTTCCAATGTCTTTGGCCCCCACGACCTTGGTGCCTGGCATACCATTCATTCATTCATTCATACGAACTGGTGTTGAGTGCCTACTGTTTTAGGCGTTAGAGCTACAAGTGTGAACAAAACAAAGCCGCGCCAGCAAGGGCTTCTCTTCTAGCGAGAAAGGCCGATGATCGGCTGATCAGTCATGCTGTCGAGATGAGCACTATGGGGAAAAGGCAGGCAGGGCAGGAGGACAGGAAGGGCACGCTGCCAGGGAGCTCTGTGGCGCAGGGGCACACAGGAGGCCTTTCTGCAGAAGTGCCGTCCGCGTAAGAACCGAAAGGAGGTGAGATAGCAGGCTGGGGAGGTCTCCAAGGGAGGAGCACCAGAGGATATGGAGTGGAGAGGAAGGCGCCCTCCACAAGGAGGAAGTCAGCAGTCGGAAAGGAGGAGCAGGCGAGAGGGGGACAGAGAGCCAGGCACCGGTGTGGATGGGGGATGGTCTGCTTTGCCAGCTGAGCTCCAAGGCTGGGGGTCGGGGGAGGTTAGGGAGGACGGAGCAGCCGTGGGGACCCCACCTCTGGGCCTGGTAGCCCGAGGGCTGTGAGGGACAGAAGCAGCTGCAGGGGCAGCCAGGCCTCTGGAAGGCCAGGTGGTCATTAACATGTGAAGGTCAAGGTCAAGGGCATCCTCAGAGAAGAGCCTGGGAAATCTACTGGACCATTCACTGTACCGTCCTGAAGGAACTGTATGGAAATCCATGATGGCCTCCATTGCCGTGGCAATGCCCATGGCCACAGGTGGCAACGTCAACACCCGAGACTTCTTCTCCCTCTTCCCTGCAGGGAGGTGGAAGATGGAGGGGAGGCAGGCGGGGCATCCCTCAGCCCCGTGATGTTGTGCGAAGCAGAGTGAACAACACAAAGGTCTGAGCACGTTAGCTCGGGCCAGACGTGGCAAAGAAGCTTCGTGCCGAGGGCCAGCATGGCCGGCTGCTGGGTGCCCCAAGTGAAGAAGGATCTGATGTTATGTGAGGGCTCCGCATTGATTAGCAATGTCTGCCATAAGCAGAGCAAGGGCAAGCATCGGCTGAATGCCACTTTCCCCAGCTCTGTCTTAAAGCAAAGCAATGACATCTGGCTTAAGGCTGAAACCGAGGCTGCGAGCAGCTCACGAAGCTAGCCGTGGATGTGCAAGTGTGAGGTGGGCACTAGTCCTGCCATCAGGGACCCCAGCCACCTGCACTGTGCCTCCAGGCCCCCTCAGGCTGTGGCTACTCTGGGAGAAGTGGTCAGAAGTCCTGTTTCACCATGACCACTTATAGCAGAAAGGCAAGGAGGGGGGAGGAGAGAGATGCTCAGGAGGTGGTCTCCCAGCTCCCCTGTCCGTCCGGTCCTGCCCTACCCAGCCACCCGCAGCAGGCCGGCGAGCAGGAGCCCCCGCCGGAGCAGCTCACAAGTTACAACAGCTGCTGGGACTCAGCTGGCCCCCCACAGGGTCATCTGGAGAAGACGGCTCATGACCAGGGAGCTGGGTCCAAACGTGGGTGGGGAGAAGGAAGTGCAAGGGAGCCAGGGACCCAGTTTCTCAACCCCAAACCATGCCGTCTGAAGAGCAGCCGAAGACCCCGGGGTGGTTAGGCTGCAGGAGAGAGAGCTTCGTGGCCCGCGGCCGGCTGGAGCGTGTGTCCCCCCAACACACAAAGAGCTGCCTGTAAGAGGGCACCCGACTTGTGTGGCCCCACAGCAGGACTCCGGCCCATCACGTGAGGTAAAGCACTTCGAACGGGCATGTACATGCCCACACACCCACACACACACACTGAGAGATTCTGGTTTACAAACCTGCAGGGGCGCTCAGGCCTCAGTGTATATATATATATATTTTGTTTTTGTTTTTGTTTTTTATTTTTAGAAAGATTAGCCCTGAGCTAACATCTGCTGCCAATCCTCTTCTTTTTGCTGAGGAAGACTGGCCCTGAGCTGACATCCATGCCCATCTTCCTCTACTTTATATGTGGGACGCCTACCAAAGCATGGCTTGCCAAGTGGTGCCATGTCCGCACCCAGGATTCAAACCAACGAAACACTGGGCCGCCTGCAGCGGAGTGCGCGAACTTAACTACTCGGCCACGGGGCCAGCCCCAGCCCCCAGTATTTTTTTTATTACTAAACTTCCAGGCAGGGTTTGGATGAACTTCAAACAGTGCCAGGAAGTAGAAATCCACAGGAAGGAGGCAGATGCCAGGCAAGGCAGACCAGCTGCCACGTGAGGTAGTGAGAGCCCAGTCCTGGGGGTTATGTAAATGAAGACGATGGGGGTTTGGTGAGGATGCATGGGGGAAATCGGGTGTTGAATTCTAAGACTCTGAGACCTGGGCCCTCCCCTTTTATAACCAACATACAGTTGGTAGAGTCCAAGACTCAGGAGTCTCTGCTAGGACGGAATGTGCCAGCACTTCCTGCCTGGTTGACCGGGGCATGCCTCCAGCAAGTCTCCTGGTCTGACCCTCCCCCAAGGCCCCACTCGGCTAGCCCTATTCTCGATTCTCAGAGCATCTGGAATGATCTTATCACCCCCACCCGGCACCATAGCAGGGACTCTGCAAAGGCTTCCAGAGCTGCTATGGATGAAGTTCAAAGTGGAGACGTGGCTCCAAGAGGACACGTGACTCTGCTCACCTCCCCAAGCCCCCGCCCCCCATCCCAGCCACGCAACCTCCCCTCTCCCCTTGAAGGTACCATGCAACCTCCTGTCACGGCCTCCATGCCACAGGGCCCACTGCCTGGAGCCGATCTGGCCTGGCCTGCGGCCTCGCTCAGCCCACAGCACTCGGCCGGGACGTCGTCTCTGAACCGCCCCTCCCTGGGTGACTGGGTGAGTCCCCAGTCACCGTGTGCCGACTCTCAGGACTGTTAGTGTGGCTGTGGACACCGGCCGCCTCCTGCCCGTCCCGACGAGATCCATGAGGGCAGACCGTGGCCGGGCTTTCCACCTTGAAGGCAGCCCCCAAGAGCCCGGCACAGAGCAGGCTCCCAGAGCGAATTAAGACAGTCAGCCGGCTTTCCACTGGGAGCCCCCAGATCCCTTTGAGAAGCCTAAGAAGGAACGGATGCCCCTGCCAGAAGGAACCCCTACACAGTTCTGGCACACACACCCCAAAGTCCATCCGGGCCTGGGGGCCGGAGCCCTGCTCTTAGAAACACTGCTCACGACCAACCCAGAGCCATGAAGTCTCCCCCAGAAAACCCTACCACTGACATTCAACAAATATTAGAATCTGCCATGAGTTTCAAACGTTTTTCCCTTTAAGAAATAAAATTGAAGAGAAAACAAACGCCCCCATTTTTCCTCCTCCCCCTCCCCAGGCAGCGGCTCCCTCCGCGGGCAGGGAGCCTTCCCTTGCAAGCTGTCAGTTCTCTCTCATTTATCTGTAGCCATTATTTTGCCTCTTTAGAAATTTACACGATTGGCATCTCTTTCTATTACTGTTTTGCTGCTTGCGTTTCTAAACGCATTTATTACTTTCACACAATGAAGACGGGGAGCTCCGTACAGGTCGGGATTGGTGCGTTTGCTTCCCGCCGCACTGGTTCCAGAACCATCTGTTGAGCACGTGAGGGGAGTGTGAGTCGCCCCCGCTGGGGTCCTGCAGGGGCCCCCGTGGGTCCCTTGGGGTCTGTGAGTTAATCCCCCCGCCCCGGGCGTACCTGCGACATTGGCCACCCGCAGGGCCTCCTGGTTCTTGGGCGTCTTGGAGCGGTTCTGGCTGCGCTGCTTGCCGCCCGTGGAGCGGGTGCTGCGAAGGTGGACCTCGGTGGCCTTGAAGAAGGCGACCATGAAAGGCTGCTTGGTCTGGGGGCCGTGCCGCCCGATCAGGCCCGCCAGCTTGGGGTTCACGCTCTGCCCTAGACGGGAAGCAGCCAAACGCAGAGAAGAGCAGTTAGGAGGGGCAGTGAGCGGGCGACTTCATCCACGTCCGCCGATGCACTCAGACGTCTGTTATTCGTCCGCGAGCACGCGTGTATGCACACTCATTCTGTGCCAGGCTGTTTTAGGAGCTTGCATCACAGCAGCAACCCCACAGAGAGGAGCCCCTGTCCTCTGGGCGTGCGTGCTGGCGGGGCAGGGGCACGAAACACACACCACAGTAGCCCCTGGTGACACTATGGGGAGAACGGCGGAGAGCAGAGCGGCGGCCGAGGTTCGCGGAAGGACCGGGCTGGCGCAAGTTCCACTCACATTTTACTGGCCGGGGCAGGTCACGTGATCCACCCACATCCAAGGGGTGGGCAATCCTGCTGGGTGCCAAGGGGTGTGGGAACAGTTGCAAGCAGCCCTGGTGACTGAAGGCCACCCTCTGCGGAGAACCGGGTAACGGGGAGGAAGCCTGGAGATAGCTGGGGAGAGGGCGTTCCAGGCGGAGGGCGCTGCAGAGGCACGTGACCCGAGGTGGGAGCGAGGGGGGTGTGTTCCAGCAGCAGAGCAGACTGGGGGCCAGAGGGCTGGTGGGGTCAGAGCGATAAATGGTGGGGGATGGCAGGGGACACAAATAACACAGGGTCCTTTGGGCATCAGGAGGCTTTCCTGTGTACAGGGTTGGTGTCCCCCAGACTCACGTCCTGGAACCTCAGGATGTGGCCTTATTAAAGAATAGCGTCTTTGCAGATGTAATTAATTAAGATGAGGTCATACTGGACACCAACCCAATGACTGATGTCCTTAGAAGAAGGCCACGTGAAGACACAGAGGTGCACACACGCGCTTGCACGCGCACACACACACGGAAGCCGGCCATCTGAACACGGAGGCCAAGGAACGCCGAGAGCCAGCGGAGGCTGGAAGAGACAAGGAAGGCCTCTCCTGGAGCCCTCGGAAGGAGGGCAGCCCTGGAGCCTGGATTTCGGGCCTCCAGGCTGCGGGAGAATAAAGCTGGTTGTTTTAAGCCCCCAGTCCGAGGTCCTTTGTTAGGGTCACCCCAGGACACTCACACACGTTAAGAACGAAGACCACGGGCTGTGTGAGCTGAGAAGTGGCAGCTTGAGTTGTTTGTAAAACCACCTCAGGCCGCCCCTGGAGACTGGACTGTGGGGTCAAGGTTGGAAGCAGAGAGGAGGCGGAGGCGGCTGCCCAGTCCAGGGAGAGGTGGGGCCTGGACCTGGTGCTGGCAGCCCAGGTGGCCAGGAATGGGCAGATCCTTGATTGTTCTTCTTTTTTTAAAGACTGGCACCTGAGCTAACGTCTGTTGCCAATCTTTTCTTTTTCTCCCGAAAGGTCCCAGTACATAGCTGTATATGTTTTAGTTGTGGGTCCTTCTAGTTGTGGCATGTGGGACAGCGCCTCAGCGTGGCCTGATGAGCAGTGCCACGTCCGTGCTCAGGATCCCAACCGGCAAAACCATGGCCGGCCAAAGTGGAGCACGCGGACTTAACCACTCGGCTATGGGCCGGCCCCCTTGACCCAAAGACACCCAGCTTGGAAGCAACAGAGCCGAATTTGAACCCAGGTCAGGCTGTGTGACCGTGACAGATGCCCTGAAGTTAGGCCAGAGGGGTCGGAGGCCAGAGCAGGCTCTGGAGGCCCATCCACATCTGGAACAAACGTCACCTGGAGCTCCGGACGGACTGGAAGTCAAGAACCCAGCCCCCCGAGGGCCGGACGAGCACCAGCGGCTCTGCTTTGGTTCTTTAACGACCAGCGTTTAAAGAGCACACCTCCGCGCACAGCACTGTGTCACCCTGACTCCCGTCCACGCTCCGCTGCCTGCATTCTTTACCGGGGTTTCCGCGAGTTCACGCGTCTATAATTTGAACAATCCTATAAAAGAACCCATTAAAGCTGCGCCCCTAGGAGTTGCGTTCCCCCCTGGAAGGCTTTTAGGGCGAAATAAAAATGCCTCGCCTGGAAAGCTGACGCTGTTGCAGAGACAGCGCGTCCAGGCGCTGCAGCAGCCCCTGCGCCCCTTGGAGGGCGTCCGGCTGGCTCTCACAGCTGTCAGGATGGTCGGGTCTGGGGACCCACAGCCTCATCCGGGAAACGGGCGGACAGAGGTGAGAGAAGAGGGTCTCTCGGGGTTTGAACCCACGTCCACCTCGGACCAGCCTGTGTGGGCTGACGGAGGTGAGGCTGCGCCCTGGGGCCTCGGTTTCCTCACCTGTAAACTGGGAGTGATGTCGCATGTCTTACCCACGCCGCCCTTTCCTTGGTACCCAAGCCAGTGTTCATTTCTGCAGCTGTGCCTTGGCTGACCCCACGCTGGCCACAGCGGAGGGGCCTGTGGTCTAACATGTGGTGACTAATCCTCCGGCTACAGTGATTGGTTCAGGGATCACACGTGACCCGGTGCAGCCCATAAATGGAAGAGGGGTCTCCTGAGAGCTTCTGGGAAAGAAACGGCCCAGTCTAGTGTCCAGAGCAACCTTCTCTCTCCCTGGACAGGACTGAGGGAGGAGGGACCGAGGTAGCACCAGAAACAGTCACCATCTGGTGACCACAAGTGGACCACGTTTTCAAATGGGGCTGATCTGGTGGAAGGAAGAGCAGAGAGACAGACAGACACAGGGTCTCTAGTGACGTCACTGAGCCACTGGGTCAAACCCGTCCTGAAGCTCGTGGCTTGCCCCAACCACCAAGACTAATAAACCTCCTTGATTGTTTAGTCTGAGCTGCCATTTTGGGGTTGTTCTTGCCCTTTTCTTAGAGGCTTGAGGACTAGAGAACAGGGCAACAAGCCATCCTGGACGACACTCAGAGGGCAGGTATGAATCATTCCCCTTCCGTCACCACATCTGAGAAGAGATTAAGGTTTTCAACCTAAAGGCTAGCAACACCACAGCGGACATTTACCTTCAGCAAAAACCCAGGGCTATGGAAAACACTTCCCTCCGTCTCAGATGGCCACAACCATGGCAGGCTGGACACAAGTTTTGGAGAAGGAACCCTCAGACGCTGCTGGCGGGAAAATGGTGCAAATGTTTGGAAAACAGTCTGGCGGTTCCTCAAAAAAGTTAAACATCGAGTTCCCATATGACCCGGCACTTCCACTCCTAGGTACATTCCCAAGAGAACGGAAAACATAGGTTCCCACAAAAACTTATGCAGAAACGTTCACAGCAGCAGCATTCCCAATAGTCAAAAAAGGGAAACAGACCAGACATCCATCAGCTAACGGGTGGATAAAGAAAACGTGGCACGTCCATGCAGCACAAGATCAGTCACCACAAAAAGAAATGAAGTTCCCTACTTGCTACCACACGGATGAACATCCTGCTGCGTGAGAGAGTGAGTCACGGGACATCACATGTTGCCCGATTCCACGCGTGTGAAATGTGCAGGATGTGTTCCATGTGTTTTCATAGGAGCAGAAAGTAGATGAGAGGCTGACAGGGGCTGGAGGTGGGGGGGGGCAGGAGCTAAAGGGACAGGCAGCTTTCTGGGGTGATGGAAACACTTTGGAATTAGTGGGATGGTTGCACAACAATGTGAATATACTAAAAATCACTGAATTGTACACTTTAAAATGGTGAATTTTGTGTTATGTGAGTTATGTCTCAGTTTTTAAAAAGTGCAGGGCCTGGCTCCGGTGGCCTAGCGGGTAAGTTCGGCACACTTCGCTTTGCCAGCCTGGCTTTAGTTCCCAGGCGCGGACTGACACCACTCGTGCATAGGTGTCTGTGGTGGCATCCCACGTACGATACAGAGAAAGATCGACAACAGACGTTAGCTCAGGGCAAATCTTCAACAAAAAAAAAGTGCAAAAAAAAAAAAAAAACCCAAGGCTAGGAATGATCCACCCACGGCACCCTGGGGCCCAGGTTTTATAACAAGCGCCTGGCCCTCCTGGGCTCCTGCCGTCAGTTTACTAGATGAACCGGTGGGTCCATGTCAACAGTGGACGGAGCACTCATAGCTTATTGCAGTGTCAATGCAGCCGCCAGGCAGACACCGCGACCTCACCGTACAAAGAGAAACAAGGCCGTGTGACTACAGCCTTGCAGCTGGTCAGTGGCGCAGGCAGGATTCGAACCCTGGTCTGTTGGAAGCCAACACCAGTGCTCTCAGCCACACACCAGCATGTCCTTGTGCTGCAAACACGCCCAGACCTTCCTCCTCGGCCATCCCACATGCTGATGCTAAATAGGGTTCGGGGTTCCCCAAGATGGGGAGGGGGCTTCACGCGAGTTTGGAGGCCCCCTTGGCCCAGGGCCACATCCGAAATGGGCACCTGGGGGTGGGGAGGAGACGACTTCTCCCAGCGGCAGGTCCTCCCTGGTATTCCCTGAAATATCAAATGTGGGACCAATGGTCATTGGAAGAATTGGGAACGAAAGACTCTGAACTGGGTTCATCGCCCTGGCTTTTCCCTGTAGCAGTGGGATTACAGAAGCACTACCTGCTGTCCGCAAACAGAACACAGTTCCAGGGTCCCCTGGAACCTCCTGCACGGAGCCCATTTGGGGTTCTGGAAGATGGATCAACCTTCCAGCATCCTCGGGCACCAGGACCGGCTCGGAATCTGCAGGGCCCAGTGCAAAATGAAAACGCAGGACACCTTGTCCAGAAGTTATTAAGAATTTCAGGATGGGGAGAGCAGAGCATCAAACCACACAGGGGGCCCTAGCTCAGGATGCCGTGCGGTCACACAGTGAAGCCAGCCCCGGCATGCACGGACAGACACAGAAACACGTGTGTGATTCCTCACCATTGCGATTGTGCTGTCACTGCTGTTCCCTATACACCTGGTTTTTACACTATATATGGTGGATGTCTGTCCACGTCAGTGAAACACACACTGACTTCACCCCTCGTGGCCACAGAAGAGCCTCCCAGCTGGAAGTTCCTCCGCCTCGTCCTCTCCTGCTGGTGGACATTTGAGTATGTGTCCCAGGCTTGAACAACCACCTCGTTT